AAAAATCATAGTCTATCATAGATTTACTCGTGTTGATTGGAATAAATATACCTGGAGAAGAACTGATATAGTGAAAGAAGAATTGAGAAGTGAAAGGACTAGTTTCAAAAAAAAATTTCGTATAGTCAGTGCTGGAATGTACTCTATACTATTATAGAATATTATGGTTTTAATAAATGTAGATATGAAATTATATATAACTATTATTATAAATGTTTGTTTATTTTTATTCAATTTATCAAATTATTAAAAATAATTAACGTATTAGTAACATAACTAATTGTGTGAAGGATATTTAATGTTGGGTATAATTTAATTTACTTGTCATTGTTTAATTTTAGCCGTGCCTTCTTATTGTTTCTAATGCATTTATTTATTGACAATAATTTATTTATTACATTTATTTATTACAAAATGCATAATATCAAATTAGAAAAATCACTTTTGTAGATTTTTAGTCAAGTTAATAAATCACAATGATTTTTTAGACTAAATAAATTACGAGGGTGAAATAGATTTCTTCCATAAAAGTTTTATTATTAAATTTATAAAAAAATACATTCCAATATAGACAATATACAATATTATAATTTTATAATTTATCTCATATTAAATTTAAAATAAAAACTGTCATCTCAAACCGCTACTAGTAAAGGTTGAAGAACTTTAATTAATATTTATTAGCTGCCTTTGAGTAATTCATTAAATTTTTGTTAATTAAAAAAAATTAGATTTACATTCTGTATAAAAAGTATACAGAATTAATATTTTGAAAAACGCATGTAAAGGACATTGCCATAATTTTAAGTATGTTTGCAGCACAGTGCTGTGTAACCACAGACAATTAATAGCCATCTAATGCCAAACCAAACTTTATTAAAATTGAGAAATTTGACCGTTCGATCGCCGTTCAAACTAGAATACAATATTATCTATAAATCAAGACATACATGCATTAAATCATAGAGATTTAGAAAAATCTTTCATATATGTGCTGACAGAGCAAATCGCTAAAGTTGTACTTTCCAAATAAGCTATTATTTAATATCTTAATGAGATATTTTTTTGAGCTGTTTGACATTTATACTTTTGAGTGTTCGGCGTTGGCGCAAAGCAATCGTTAGGTAGACAAAAATCTCAATGCATCTTATCGACAAAATAACGTAATAGTCGAGATCATCATATCAAATGTCGTTTCTATTACTGAAGGTAAAACTATCAGCTATAGACTGATGTTGTGAGTCTATTGAGGTTATAATTTAAAAACTATAAAACTTTACTGAAGAAGTTGAAGACCAAAATGCACTGAGATGTGAGTTGTAATTCTATTACCCTCCATGCAGTTTACTTTGACGGCGATAAAATAAATTTTAATTGAGTAATGGTTTTTATTTAATAATTTCCGATATTTTGTGCACAGAATATATAACGGTCAACATATCCAAATACATTAAAGTTTGTTCGAAAGCGTTAGGATTTATAGATATATATATAGTGATTGCTTTCTATTAGCTGTTTTGTTAAAAAAATATGTACTTAAAATTTTGATACTAGATTTTGCAAAATTATACAATAATTATTTAACTTATACGTATTACTAAGCTTATTATTAAGTTTACAGAGCTGTAAATACTTAAAGCATTAACAAGCAATTCAAATAATTATTAAAATTAAATATGTACAAATTTAAATCATTGACATGGTTAATAAATTACTTTTATATAATATTTACTCTCAAGACCCAAATACAATTCAGAAGGCTAAGCACTATGATAAAATATAGTTAATATTTACTCACATTATAATATCTTAAAAGCAAATTTTATAATTGTGCAAATTAAATTACGTGAACTTAAATAATTTATTTATTTAAATTTTTTCGTTAATTTACGGTTACATGTTATACAAAAATATTATCAGTTTTATTCATATACTATATCTTCTTAGATCAAAAGTAATAAATTATAAATTAATTAGTAAAATTTTATCACAAAGCTTATAATATAAATTAACACACAAAAAACATGTAAGTCTTTTAAACATCAACTCAACTAATTATACACAGAAGCAACAAATAAATTCATATAAATAAAAGCAAATAAATAAAATAAATCTTTATAATATTATATATTGTGTCGTTTGTCTTTTAAAAAGTTTTAAAAAGTTTTCAATTGAAAAACTATTTTATATTATTATTGAATACAAATGTTTATTTTTTGGTCAGCGATTGAGCTCTCAATTTAATTATTAAATTTAATAAAGGCTCATTTGGATAAAGTATATTAAAACTATCATTTTATCATTTTAGCAAATACATCCAAGTCAGGGCTTTCTAAACTGCAAAGAGGTATCGACTTGGACCTGTTATTAGTTGTGTTTCAGCAAACAATGATCTGGTTTATCTCTACTGAAGCGGTACCAGTCACAAATATAAGTAATTGGCAATGCATTATATTAAGAACGACATATTTAAAATCGCATTGCCAACTAAATTTTTTAATTATTACATTCCACTTATGTTTTGGACACATTTTTCACATTGTACCAAAATAGCTGCGTCTCAGCAAACAATGATCTGGTTTATCTCTACTGAAACGGTACCAGTCACAAATATAAGTAATTGGCAATGCATCATATTTAAAACGACATATTTAAAATTGCATTGCCAACCACATTTTTTTATTAATTACATTCGACTTATATTTTGGACATATATTCCACATTATAACAAAATAGCCGTGTTTCAGCAAACAGTGACCTGGTTTATCTCTACTGAAACGGTACCAGCTACAAATATAAGTAATTGGCAATGCATTATTTTTGGAACGACATATATATAATCGCATTGCCAACTACATTTTTTATTAATTACATTCGACTTATATTTTGGACATAGCAAAAAAACATTTTTAATTTTTATGTGGTAAATTAACGATCTAAGCTTAGTTATAACTAAATAAACGTATAATAAAAAAATATATATAATATGCTGATATGTCTGAATTATTAAATGTAAGTTTTTGTTTATTATTTACCTCAAATCTTAACTTAAATTTTTTATTTATTAAATGAAAATTGCAGATTTTAATAGAATCGTCGAGCGACAATAAAACTGACTCTTCCACTCCATTTTAAAACACCAATTTAAGTGTATTAAGCTCAGAGGATGAAGTGCATCAACAGGGAAATATTGGGAATTTTATGGAAACTATTAGTAATTTACGATGAAGATTTTAGAAAAAATTTCAGGCTTCAATAATGCACTAGCAATTATTTAACGGGTAAGTGCGCATAGAAAATTCAATTGCTTTTTATTAATTACATTATATTTTCTATTCAAATATAAATTCTAATTGGACAAATGCAGAGTAGGAGATTAATATATTTTTGTGGAATTTGGTAAATTAATTAATTTTAATTTTTTTTGGCATATCAAAAGCTTCTGCATGGAGAATAATTGAAAGAGCTAGTGCGTGGATGATATTAATTGGACACCAATTTACAAGTGACCAAATACGAAGCACTTGCTAATATGGCAAAAGTGGGAATAACGCAAAAATTCTCATTCGTAATTGGTTGCATATACAGCACAAATATACAAATATTAAAATAAGTGCTCTATACTATAGTAAGAAGGCTTATATATGAATAGGAAGCAGTATTTTATCTTTCTCTTGCAGACAGTTTGCGACTCAAATGGTCTTTTTATGGACCTGTACGTTGGAGAGTGTTGCATAGATCGCAACTATGTAATATAGCATCATTTCCAAACAATTCCAAACTGCATATCCTAATTTGGCTTGTTAGTCCTTTCAAAAAAAATGGTTCTTTGTCCTCTGTCCAAAGATAATTTAATGTGAAGCATTCGCAGGCAAAGATTGTCATAGAAAACACTTTTGATTGCATGAAAATAAGGTTTCGTCGTCTGTATGATTTTATGGAACAACAAGGTACACCTTCAATAACTAATTTAATTCTGTGCATATTCATAATGCATAATGCGAGGAAAACATAATAAATGTTATATTTTTTACTGCACCGTATCATACTTTTAAATCGCATTGTCATTGATATTTTGTATAAATTCGGTCCATTTTTATTTCGTACATAAATTCTACATTGAACCAGAAAGTGAACCAGTTCAATTTTTGGTTCACCGCATTGTTATTCTTTTACATATAAATTGATCGGGATCATTGTTTGCTGAAACACAGCTAATTTACACCAAATCAATTGATACTACTTCGCTTTGTTGTTATTCTTCGTATTCGCAAGCTAGATAACCGTTTACTAAAACACAGCTATTAATACATAAATACGTAGAAATACATACATATTATATATATTACAAACAAATATAATTTATTGAACATTTATATAGTTTGTTTTTGGATGTCCCATTATGGGCTCTTTCGTACAACCGAAATTCGAGGCAACCATCTCTTAACTTCCTTATACTAAATACAGTAACTTAAAGCTAATGACTATTCGCTGTACACACTTGCTTATCACTAACTTGGCTTTTCTATTGCGTAAATCGCCAAGTAACATCAATTTAATAGGGGAATTCATCCTTCGTGTCAAATGGCCTAGTGTTCACAGTATAGGTATTCTACTTGTTCATATTTTATTATTGTTTAATTTGCAATGTCGTAAAATATAGTTTCGAAGCAATCAATCAATGATTTAAAAAAAAAATTATTTTTTTAAATAAAGGATTCCTCCCTTCAGAACTATAATAAAGCCTATATATGTTAGAGATATATAGCGGAGTATCAAGTTAACTTCAACTTGACACTATAATAACGACCCTAAATATTTACAATATATATTTTGGTAATTATTAGTTTCAAAAAACTAATAATTAAAATATTATCAAAATTGTTGTAATTATCTTTGTATCCTGGTGATAACTCTCAAGGAGAGTCGAAATATTAAATATATTGAAAAATATTAAACATAACGTTCAACTTTAATTTTAACAAAAAAGTGACCTGTAGCCGAATATAAAATATATATACAAATATATATTTTTGTTTGACTTTTTTTCCACACATTGGAACGGAAAAGTCCAAACTAAGCTATATGTGCAGATATCTCTACTAAACGCACATCCGGTAAATTGGAGGGATTTATACAGAAACAACCTTATCCTTTGAAGCAATTTTAAAAATAAAATTAATGCTTAGTTCTTTAGGAAGGAATATAAACGTATAAAATATGCAGCCTTTCATCTACTCAAAAGTATAGTATATTGGAACTTATATTTTAAAAGGCTATCATCACTGCATTTAATGTGTTCGATGTTAACCATTGCAAACAATTATATATTTAAATATACTAAATTCAAACTTTTGCATTATACTTGTACGACACATAACAAGAAGGATGAATTCTATGTTATTAAAAATTTATCACGTTAATAAAACTATCTACAACTAAATATTTCAGCTTAGAAAATAATTCAAGGATTTTGTTTTACCATTTTTACTTATTATAGCTTTGACACCTGAAAATAAAACAAACAAAATTAATTAAATATATAGAAGTATAATTGTTTTAGTACTAAAAAATTATATACTAAAATTATACAAAATTACTACTGGGATATTCGATTATCCGACATTTTTCAGAAACCAGTTTTCGATTTCAATTTTCGGTCTCAAATTCCGATTTCAGTTTTCGGTTTCAGTTTTCGATTTTAATTTGCGGTCTCAGTTTTCGATTTCAGTTTTCGGTTTCAGTGTTCGGTTTCAGTTTTCGATTTCAAATTTCGATTTCAAATTTCGATTTCAATTTTCGGTGTCAAATTTCGATTTCAATTTTCGGTTTCAGTTTTCAATTTCAGTTTTCGGTTTTAATTATCGATTTCAGTTTTCAGTTTCTGTTTTCGATTTTAGTTTTCGGTTTCAGTTTTCGATTTCAGTTTTCGGTTTCAGATTTCGATTTCAGTTTTGGTTTCAATTTTCGGTTTCAATTTTCGATTTCAATTTTCGGTCTCAGTTTATGATTGCAGTTTGCGGATTTAGTTTTCGATTTAAATTTTTGGTTTCAATTTTCGGTTTCAGTTTTCGGTTTCAATTTTCGGTTTCAATTTTCGATTTCAATTTTCGGTTTCAGTTTTCGATTTCAGTTTTCGGTTTCAGAGTTCGGTTTCAGTTTCCGATTTCAAATTTCGATTTTAAATTTCGATTTCAAATTTCGATTTCAATTTTCGTTGTCAAACTTCGATTTCAATTTTCGGTTTCAGTTTTCGATTTCAGTTTTCGGTTTTAATTATCGATTTCAGTTTTCAGTTTCTGTTTTCGATTTTATGTTAGTTTTCGGTTTCAGTTTTCGATTTCAGTTTTCGGTTTCAGTTTTCGATTTCAGTTTTGGTTTCAATTTTCGGTTTCAATTTTCGATTTCAATTTTCGGTCTCAGTTTATGATTGCAGTTTGCGGATTTAGTTTTCGATTTAAATTTTTGGTTTCAATTTTCGGTTTCAGTTTTCGGTTTCAGTTTTCGATTTCAGTTTTCGGTAGTAAAAATAAAACGGTTGAAAAACAAGTACCTAATAACAGCTGTTTCAGCATAATAAAACTATGAAATTTGTTTCTATACTTTTTTAATGAAGCGTTGCCACTCCATAAATACAATAGATAAGTATCAACAGATTGAAAAAGAACTGATTCGTTTACACTATTCTACTATACTTATTTTAGGAATTAATCATTCATTGCATTTTCTTATAATTTATTATTTAAAATTGAATAACTACACTAAGAGCAAGGAAAATTGGTCTGTGGGAATTTTTTGACATATTATCAGTTATTGAAGGTCGAGCAATAGCTCAATATTTGTTAAAAAACAAAATATAGAAAAATAAGACAAGGTGAAGACAGACAAAGATAACATTTGGTTTCAGTATTTATTCTATAACATATGTTTTTTTTTTTTTGTAAGGTCTGGGTTATGCATAACAATGTTAAAATACATAGACTATAATTGATATTGTTGTAAAACAGATTAAAGCATTCACAACCTGATGAATTCCTAAACATTTTGATTCGAAGTTAGTTTTTTATATTATTATTATATCAAGTTCTTGCTATTTGAATACTTATGAAAACCTGACGATTTTTACTCGTAAGAGATGGGAAATTAGATATGCGCTTTTATATATGGCACCAATAATACACAATATTTTTAAAATCTTAGATTATAATGCCAAAAAATAATTGCTTACGATTGAAATATTATTCAAGCAATGCTAATAGCACCAATAAGTATAATAAATTAGAGGAATTTTAATTTATATTTCATTTTATGTTATGCATAAAAATAGTCGTGATAAGAAAAACTAAGAGATAAAATATTCTACGTTATTGATTTTACTGATGTTTGGAAGTAGTTCTAAAACTATATACATATTTAAACCGATCAATCAAACTTTATTTTCACTTTCTCAATACTTTTAATGAGCAAATTTCGATATGGTTTTGTATAGACCTAACTAACCTAAACTAATTTGAGTTACAGTAACAACAACTTAGTCTAACTTTCTAATATGTTTTTATTAATAACAAAACAATGAATAATAAATAAGTCCACCGCTCCTAAAATCAAAATAGTTCGAAAACCGTAAGACCTTTTTTGTCATTTTCGAAGTTTGTGACGTACTTTAGGACAAATTTCATCCAATGTTAATTATAATTCAAAAATATGGATCTATCTCATAAGCTCCGTTAAGAGCTAGTAACCTGGTTTTTCCAATCTAATATGTTACTTTTGTTAAATTATGCAATATTAACAACTTACAAGGTGTTTACTAAAGTTTTAAATGTTAATTTTTCCATTTACATTACGTTTGTTTGTGTTTAAATACTAACCTTCAGTTTCAGAAGCCACTGATACACCCATAATCTCTAGCGACTTAAAAAGTGCACCTAAATTCGAACGATCGTCTAGATATTCACGATTTATCCGAACAATAGAACGATTTCTACTTTTAGTTTGCGTATGCCAAACTAAAATTTCGGTACAATCATTTCCTTTCGGCTCAATATAATCCAACTTTAATGATATGCTACGTAAAAAGTAATCCTCTTCATAGCCTGGTTTGTATGGCATACTTGCATTTGGATGTTCTGACATAAACGCTAAGTTAACTGCAAATCCAGCCATATCGACAGGCCAGTGCCGATCAGCTACCCAGGAATCCAGAAAACCAACAACCTTACCCTGTAAATAAAATTTGTTTTTAACAATAATTATGCTCGTATGTTAGGTAAATTTTTAATAAATACCTTACGCACAACTGGCCCACTGACTGAATAATCTTCGATTAACCCAACAGGAAACATTGACACACGATGTGTATCGCGTATTTCCGAAAAGAGTTTTAAATCATAGGTATTGTCATCATCGCCAAAATATAATATACCATTCGTTATATTATGCTGACGTAGCCAATAAATAGCTGCACGACGATTTGCAACACCGCGTGGCATAGGTTTTTTCTTACGATAACTAAATGGCATAGGACTTGAGAGATGAGTAAAAGGAATACCTGTACACAGTGCATATAGTGAAAGTTATATATATAGTGAATGTTATATATAAGCCAGTTAAGCAGTGTAAACTTACCAAATTTATTAAGCAAAAAATCTAAAAATACATTACAGGTTCCATAATCATTCGCCAATATCCAGTGAATCCGTGGAACATGGAGTAGGGTATGCGCTAAACGCGTTAATTCAGGCACTTGTTCACGTCTTGGATATGTGGGCGTCACAAAATAAATTATTGGTAATTGTTCATAATCCTTCCGTGGTCGATTTTGTATGTATGCCCGTGAGTCAACAAAAACCTCGCTACAAACGACAAGCGATTCATTAACTGCTCTGGAGACAGCACTCGACTCTAAAAATATAAATATATAACATACTTTAAAGAACATATCGTTAATATTGTTTGTTATTAATTAAATTACTTAAAGTTTTACAAAACCCTTTAATATTGCAAGCAATGCTAGGATAAAAATAATTATAATAGCTTGTAATGATAAATAAATGTGATTTTTAATGGATAAAATATTTTTCTTTAACATTTGTGATATGATTATTTCTTATTATTTATAAATCATTTAACTATTTTTCTCAGTTAACCTTCAATTCTTCATAATAATTTATAATGCTTACAAAAATATTTAGATGTAAAGACACATATTATATAAAAAAATTAGGGAAAATTTAGAATCTTGAAGGCCCGCGCTAAGGGTTTTTAAAAAACATCACGATCTATACTAAGAAATAAAATTATTATTATATCATATGTAATTCAGATAAAGACAAAACAGCAGGTGCCATTTACAAAAACCAAAAAGAAATAAGTGGAACATATAGTTAATAATAGAATAATTGTCTGACTGCTTTGAAGGGATCCAATATATACTTTAGAACGCAAGAACACATTAGCTGTTTGTTAATACATAAAAAAGAAACATCAGTGACACAAACATAAAGATCATTTTGACGATCACACTACACTACGATACTTTCCCACGCATTTATGAATTATTTATTGTTCATAAATAAAACATATGACAAAGACCAAATGTGAGTTCTAAGAGGAAGTCAGTGAAAACATTAAAGAAAAAGGAAAAATTAATATAAAAGTATAAAAAATTATGTATGGAATCATATCACTTAACGTATGAGTCACGGCTGCAAAAAGATTTGGAGTTTTCTGATAACAGAAATAATACTAGCAAATACTAGGCCTAACCAATTATTCAGTTGTTCTGAACCTGGTCACAAGTTCGAATGTCAAATGTCCAACATGTCATTGTTGGAAAAGTTGTAATCGAAAGCTCAATATGAGTGAAATGAAATACTATATATGAGAGATAAAATGTACACTACTTGGATTGGAATGTGTGATTGTTTATGGAGCGTCGTAAATAGTAATATATTTATAATATCTCTCGCATTTTTACACTTAAATAAAAACTTCGGAAACGATCAGTTATTAAGAGAAAAACAGATGATATTTGGACTAACGAAACTAAGGAACAGAATCAAAACAGATGGTCATTGATGTACTAAAGATTGACTGTAGTAACATTTGCAGTAGTAATTTACGATAGTTGAAGCCCTATCCTAAGAACCCTATAGATAATTAAAAATAAAATAATATTTTATTAGTTCTTTAAACACAATTATCTAATAAGCATAATTTAATTATTCTTTATCTACCTACGAGAATCACTAAAGATTTATTAGGGTAGGTATATTTACTTTAATATTTCTAGAAGTATTACTAGTCTTCGCATATACCATATCTTCGTTTTCTCTCAAAATAACGCATAAGTCCAATTTTGTTAATACACTTCGGAATATAAATGGGTACAGATGATGCCTGACTGTTCACCAGGCGCATTAAATGCGAAGTTTATGCCAATGTGTCTCATATGTTTGATGGAAATCAAAATATTTTAATTGTCCATCAATTTTGCTCGTCTTTTTTCGTATACAATCAGATTGTATCGGCTTCTATGTCGGCTTCTATGTAAATTTCATTATGTTTTAAGTCATGAAAGCGAAAACATCGTTTAAATGCACGCATTATTTTATTTTATAGTATATTTGTTGTATTTTTTACTGAGGAGTGTTCAAAATAATGTCGGCAGTGTATGAATCGCTCCAAGACGTCGCGCCAGGAATCATGTGTAATGCCAGTTTAAGATTCTTTTAAAACCAAATAAAAGAGATTATTTAGAGAAAACCTGTTAGGACTTTCGATTGGCTCATTAGTTCATAAGAATTATTATAGTTTATGCGCTATTAGATTTGAATACTGCAAGTCTCACTGCAGTTCTCTCTGATCATTGGTGTATAGAAACTAACGCAGGGAAACTTTCTTCACATATTCATTGTAGAAGTTGTGAAAGAATTAAGCATTTTTGCTATGAATGGCCAACTTTAGCTTCCAGAAGAAATGCGTTTTTAGGGAAGTACTTTTTTGAGTTTATTCAGACAGTTAAACGTTAAGTAGAGAATATTTGTTAAATTACTTACATTCAATGGATCGATTTAGTTTTTCTTTTTATATTTTATGGTTTGTAATAATAAAAATTGCGAAAAAGACCTAATTATTATTCAATCGACCAGATCTCAAACGTAAAAAAATACTATTCTTTTATTATTATTAAGCATTCAATATAACTAATGGACCTTGCATTTTCGTATCAATGGATCGTATCTAATATTTGATAAAAGTAAAGTTTTATACTTCTAATTTAGATGAAAGTTGTTATTGCCGACATTTCGCTACTATCTTTAATCTGTGTTTTTCTGTTTATTAGCAGATTAGAGCACCGATATACACGACACACACGACACACACGAAAATTGAATTAAGATCATAAGGTTTAACAAATATAATTATAATTTATGACATTTAAAAAAAAACTCCCAGAAGTTATATTTCCGTGCATATAATATCAAAAGCCAATTAACGCGATTTAATTATATTTTCCAGGTGATTGAGTAATTAATTTTTAAATGGTAAATGAGTTTTAGATGAAATTTTTTTGTTTTTAATAAACTAAATCAATTAAGTTAGTGAATAAAAAAAAAAAACTTGTATGTCTGCGCATATTAGTTTCAAACTATAAAATTTATTGATAGACACATTTAGGTTTAAACGTATATTGCTTTGAAGATTTAGGTCTTAGCATACTAGTCTCTAAGTTTCCATCACGTAACGCCTATACAATAGAACTTCTAGAATTGAGAACATATTTTTCAATATTAGTATAAAGAAAGTACACATTCTTTTATAATATAGGTTTTATAATAGGGCATATTATATATGGTTTTTATAACATATAATTACTATTAGTTCCTGTAATGTGATATATATCATTTAATGTATAATTAATTTTAAGAACTCAAAAAAATATCCAAGTATGGATGAATTTTATAAAAAAATTAAATTTATGCTCAAATAATATTTCTAAATCAAAACTAGAAGAAGTTTTATATTCAACAGTCGCACACAAGATATATGCAGGGTAAGGCGGTTGGAGTGTTAACTATTCAAGCAACCATATTTTTTTTGGGTGAAATTATTTTTTATTGATTCAAATTACAAAAGTTTATAGAAATAATCAAAATTTCAGAATCCATTCACTCTAGTTTGATGTAACCACCTGTTGGCTTCAAACGGTTCAAAAATTAGTTGCATGCGAGTGTGATCTTCTGGTATTTTGGCCCATTTCTGGACAATGGCTTTCTTCAGCGCATTCATACTGGCATATTTTTTAGTCCTCACCTTGCTTTCCAAAATGGTCCAAATAGAAAAGCATATCGGATTACAACAGGCAAATTCAAAAGCCATTGTATGGATTCTTGGTTCACACGAGCTTTATGAGACGGTGCCGAGTCTTGTTAGAACGTCCATAGTCTACGACCGAAATGTTTGCGTGCTCACGGCTCTAAAGCAACTTCCAAAACCCCATAATAAATCGCATTATTTTGACACCAGACTCGATAAAAACGATAGGAGAGCGTACATCGGCATTCATAGGTGCCCATACCATTATTTCAGATGGAAAATGGAAAATTAGTTCGGATGACTATCTGTAATCTCAAATTTTCGGCAGTGCGTTTCATTTAGTAAACACGATTTTTTCAAGAGTTTATGAATTGCTCAATGGGAAAATTTTTCTCATCAGAGAACACAATGTTTGGAAATTCACCACGTTCGTGCAAGCGTAACAACTCCTTTACTCTTTCGAATCTAACTCTTTGTTGCTTAAGTGTAAGATCTTGTGCCTGAAATATATTCAGTTATTTGTCCATTTGATTACCACTACGACATAGAATTTTTTTTGTCCAGCAACTATAGCGTTTGGCGACCTTTGAGGAGCTTGAGCTCACAAGTAATAGCTGGTTGTGATTGTGATTTTCCAGTCAAATACAACGCAATCACACTATTTCGTTTCAATTCCATGTCGAATAACTTTTGTTGTATAAAACTTAGACGCAAATGCTTGGGATGTCTTGTAGACAATATAAACAGCTGTCATTCGTATAAATTTCAGATAGTTGGCAATATCAGTTTAACAGATATTCCTGTGTGTAGTTGGTAAGACTTCAATCGCCTAATCCTGCATATGTATTCCTTTAAATATTTTTTTTAGATTTTTCTATTGCTTTATCCTATTTTGTGGTGGTTCGCTGAAACCCACAGTCAATTGTGGTTTCTTCGTTTACGCTGAACAATATATATTTTCTTTATTTCCTTCATCGGTACAACCTGTCTCATAGCAATATAGCTTCAACATTATAGTAATTAAGTCATACAATGAAAATGTCACGTTACATTTGAATTGCTTCACTAAATGGAATTCATATCAATCACGAAATAAGTTACCTCACTCCAAACACGCATGTAAAGAGTGCTCCACTGTAAGCGAAAAACAAAGTTCCAGCTAACAGCACCACAAAAAGTGAAAGAAAGACAAGCAAAGCATCACAAAGAATTTCTATTAAAAGCGTCTATATAAACACTATCAAAATTTATATAAAGCTAAATAATTAAACCTAAATTAAGCTAAATTCTTAATAATTGATATATGTGAATGATATTATGTTTATTTTATATTCTTAATCGCCATTCTATTAGCGTTAAAAAAGGTTTAGAGATATGCGTTCGGCGAGTCTTCACATTTCGAAGACCATATCGTTTTCTTTTCGCCAAAACAAAATTCTTTATTAATATAATTCGTCACAAAATGATGATGAATTAAGTAAAAGCGATAAGAAAAATTTTGTCGAAATATCAGAAAATTTGAGCGTAGTCAGAGAAGTTAAACATTTATAAATGTAAAGCACTCTAACACAATATCAATGTTG